AGCAAGTGAAAGACTTGTATGATAAAACCTGTAAGACATTGAAAATGATATCTGAAGATGGAAAGGTCACCCATGCTAATGGACCAGTAGGATTAATATAATAAAAATATTATAAATTTTATAAGTTATTTATAAAATTTTATAAAACTAATTTATAAAAATTATAAATTATTATAAATTTATAATATAATAAAATATCCTATCAAAAGCAATGCACAGATTCCTTTTTCTCAAGAGTTTCCTGGAAATTGCAAGTTGGAACTGCAAATTACAACTCTTGCAGGATGAAGAACCTTCACACTTCCAATATTCTCTTTTGAAGTATATCTTTAGGATTCTATGGATTTGCTTGACTCCTGTTGTTATGTCCCACTTTTTATCTCTAAGCTTATTAATTTGTATCTATCTTGTCAGTTTGTGGAGAGTCACCAACGCCCTTGATTGGTTGGGGTTCAGATGTGTCCCTTTCATGAACAGCTCAATTAGATGAATTTTCACTTAATTTGACTAAAGGATTGTCAATCTTATTGATTTTTCTCAAATAAAACAAAACCCAAGTATTTGCTTCATTGATTCTTTGTAATGTTTCATTGGTTGTTTGTTGTTTCTGTTTTATTGATCTCAGTCTAGGTTATTTCTTGCCTTCTACTCCTTTTATGTGTTATATCTTTTATGTTCTAGGGCTTTTAGGTATGGCATCCCTCAATTTTTTTTAAATGGAGGAACTTACTGTTATAAACTTTATACTTAGAGAATCCTTCATTATGTCCCACAAGTTTAGGTACCTTGTATTTATATTTCTTCAGTTTTCGAAAGTTCTTAATTTCCTTCCTAGGTCAATTTTTTATTCAGTAGTAAGCTGTTCCATTTCTGTGAGTTTGTAAGCTTTCTCTTCTTCCTGTTGTTAATATACAGGTTGAATCCTTGGTTTCCAGATAAGATGCAGGGTGTTATTTCAACTTTCTTTTATCCGTGGAGACTTGCTTTGTGTTCAAGAATGTCATTTGGTCTTTTTCTCTTGCAGCTCTTAAAATTCTCTTTGTTCTGTGCACTTAGTGTTTGATCATCATGTGCTATGTGGTTTCTTTTCTGTTGTAGTCTGTTTAATTTTCTGTATGCTTCTTGTAATTTGATAGGCACTTCTTGCTGTAGTATAAAAACATTTTCTTCTATGATTTTGCTGAAATTATTTTCTGTACCTTTGACCTGCATTTCTTCTTCCTCCATTCCTATTCTTAATAGCCTTTTGAATTATTGGTCTTTTCACAGTGTCTAAGTGTTCCAGAATGTTTTGTGCCATGATTTTTTCTGAGATTTAACACTTCATTTGATGGACATAGTCATTTCTCCTGTTTTGTTTCCAATGCCCAACATTCTCTTTCATCTCACATTCTGTTGGTGATACTTACCTCTGAGGCTTCTGTTTAAAATTCTTACATTTTAACTTACAGTATTTCCTCAGGTGGATTGTCTTTCTTCATTCTAAATCCACTCTATATCTTGGACAGTTTTATTCATTTCTTCCCTCTGTTTGTATTGCTTCCATAGATTTTAAAAGTGGATCCAGTCATATCTTCTTTAAGGACCTTGAACATATGGATGACAGTTATTGTGAAGTCGGTCTTTTGTGCCTCAGCCATATTGTCTCATGGCTTACTGTAGTAGAGTTGCTTGGTTCTAGTGGGGTATATTGCCCACGTTGTTATTGATTGTGTTTACACTTGGCATGTAAAATCTGGGTTTGGGATGATTGTACTTCTTAATACTGATATATGGTCTTTTGCTTACTGGCTGGTGCATAGACCCGAGGGAATGGTGGTAGACAGAAGGACAGGCCACAGAAGATGACTTTCCTCAAAGCTGGAGATAAGACTGCAGTATTACAATTGAAAGACGGGAATTTTCTTCTAACAAGCAAGGAATGCCTCTTTTTGTAGTGCCCATATTTTTAATGTTTTTGGTCAATTTCTTATATTAATTAGATCTCTGTACTTACAGTTACACTTTTCTGTATTTATCTGTATTTTTCTTTTTCATTTTGCTTGGTTTCGGTGATGTTGGGGTAGTTTTGTTTTGTTTGTATTATTGTGTTACATTTTTGTTAATGTCTTGCTATCTGTACTAACTGAAAGAATTAGAAATCCTTTTTTTAAAAAATATCTCCACTGTCTTTATTTTTATTGTATATACTTGTACAGAACCGAGAATTCCACAGTGCTGTTTTTGAGCAAGTGCATCACATACTTTGAGCACATTTACTGCACACTGACCTATATACCCACCTTCTTTCTTCCTGCTCCTTTTCCTTTTCTTCCAAATTCTATCCTTTCTATCTTCTATAAATTTTTTGAATATTTATCAAGCAGTGTGTAAAGCCTCCACCCACATGAATTTTCTTTCACTCCTATCTGCTGAATATATCATCTCATAAATTCTTGCACCATCTCTTAGTCAGGACAAACTGAACATGCCAGAGGGAAACGGTAGTCTGGAGTCTCTCTCCCACAGTGAGCATGACTGTGTATTGACTAATGATCCTGCTTGCTCACAGTGACTGGGAGACCTTTGAACCTGCTGTTCTTGGCTCCTGCAAGTACTGGCAAGTTACTCTTCTGGATACCTAAGGACTTGACCACACCCAGGCAGCACTGACTGTTTTCTATGTACAATTTTTAATTTCATCATTTCTCTAGTGACTTTCTGAGAACTGTTTCCCAACTATTTATATTAAAAAAGTGACCTAATTTATATTGTGTTACAAATAGACACAGAAAGATATTCTCACAACGAATTCTCTGGCTTTGACTTTGGTTTTGGTTTCTTTAAGAATTTTTTGAGTTACTGTTGGGTAAATTTATCAGTATAATTCTCCTTGTTTTATGCTATTATTTAAAACTCAATTGAAACTGTCAAAAAACACTGCATTTTTCTTCTAAATTTATATGTAGTTCTCATGTATATCTACTCCACCTTGAATTTATTCATCCTAGGCTGTGAGGTAATGATCTAGTTTTATTTATTTTTGCTGATAGATAAGAAATCAACTTACCCTCATTCTTTGAACAGTGATTTTTCTTCATGTATTAACAATAACACTCTGTTTAATGTACGATGTTTTCCGTGCACAAATCAAGTTGTTTCTGGGCTCTTTATTCTGTGCTGAGCTGAATTTCTCATCCTTCACTGATCCTATATTCCCATCATTACAACTCTGCAGTGAGTTCTGTTACCTGATAGAGCAGCTCTGATTTTATTTTAATAGCTTGCTTTGTACATTTTAAGACATGGACACATCCACTTGTTTAATGTCACACTGTCCTTCATAAGTTATTGTCTTTAACAAGATAGTCTTCCACATACTTATTTGGACACACTAAGCTATACATATCATGTGAAAGAAATTTTTTTTTTCTTCTCTTATTGTTTGCCTTCCCTCCTCTTCTCCCAGTTCCTCCTCATCACCACCCACCCAATGTTCCCACCCTCCAATTCACTTCTTCTCAGTTTCTGTTCAGGAAAGTGCAGGAATCCCATGGATATCAACAAGCACATGGTATATCAATTTGCCATGTGTTAACACTGGCAAGGCAACCCAGTATGAGGGGCAGGATTCCAAATCTGAACTTTTATATTACTTCTGAACCTAAATACATACCTTTGGGTTTTCAATTTAAAGTTTTATGTGTGATTTCTACACTTGTAATAGTGCTCATGAGCTCAACATTACCTCGCAGAATAAAAGTATATGACTTACCCCAAAATAGATTAGATGCCATTGATTATTTGAATAATTAATTGGTTGATTTATATCCTGGATTCATTGCTATGTAAGTTAAGAAAGTTCCGACTGCACACTCTGCTTTAATTATAAAAAAAAATTCCCACTTTTCCAGAAAGCACAGGTCTACAGTTACATATAAGGACTTCTTAACCGGTACTCTTCTTATATTGGTGTATTTAAGATAATAAAGTATGGGTTGGTCTTGGTGGAACACACCATTAATTCCAGAACCTGGGAAGCAGAGCCAGGTGGATCTCTGTGAGTTTGGGGCTGGTCTGGTCTACAAAGGGAGTTTGAGGATATCCAGTATTGTCAGGATTGTTTCACAGAGAAACACTGTCTTTTAAAAAAAATGATAAAGTACACCAATACATGAGCAAGGTCTCCTCTGCCTAGCATATTTTCTTAAAATAGAAACCAACAGTCTGTTTTTATTAGGGTGATTAATCCCAGATACTGATAATTGCTTACATCACATACAGTAGCCATATGATACCTAAGTGAACTTTCCTTTAAGTAAAATCAATACTGCTTTACATTGCATAACTTCAAGAGTGACATCATAAAATTCACAAGACTTCTGTTTATTTCAATAATGTATCTAGGCACACATGCATACACATAAGAGAAACAGGGAAATAAGAAAGGAGTAATAGAGGGCTAGAATAAGGTACTAGACAATTATACTATATATCTATGTGTGTTGTAGTTTGGAAGTTTTGACCTCCCTACAGAGAAATACTTATAATTGTGACCTGAATCACAGGGCAGAAGGTTGATCTGTTCAGAACACTTATGCACACATCAAGTGCATTTCCCTAATGACCAATTTGTTTATCGTTTTCATGTTTTTAATAGTTCTCAATGAGATTAAGGGTCATTTTTTTGTTTATGGTGTGCATTTCATTGCTCTTACCCTGACAAATGGCCTGTTCATATGATTACAATTTACAGCTCTAGGCATCTGTACTCACTGTATCTTCTTAAATATTAACTGCTTTAAAGATACTGAATGTATGGAGACATACCGCTTCCAGACAGACAGACACAGCACATTCACACTGAAGGCTCTCAGTGTTAGCTTGAATGGTTGGTGACTTTAACATCCTTAGAAACTTGAGAGATTTTACTCTACAGTTAGTATTAAGGTATCAGTTTTGCTGATGTGGAAGACTATTGCCTCTCATAGTTCCTAAATTATCCATCCTTCAAAAAAAAAATGAAGTCAGACAGAAAGGTGGCCGCAGGACGTCATTCTCTCAGCTCTTTTGAGGCAATGCTCTCGGTTCTCTTCATTATTCTTATGGTCCTATGTGCTGGGTTAATTGCAGTGTCCTGGCTGGCAATCAAGGAATCAGAAACAGGTAAGGCATGCATTTAAAAGAAACATGTTCTAAGTCAACCATTGCTGTAATTTATTCATTACTTTGATCATACCACAAGATTTTTTTTTATTTCATTTAAGTGGTTTTGGACATTTTACTTCACAGAATATTAAGAAAATCAGTTGGTATGTCATTTCCTATAATCTCAGATTCAAATTTGGGAATAAAATAGTTTACTTTTTTGCAAAATAATGTTCAGCTTGTTTTTTTATTTTAGAATATAATACAGTAGTTTTGCATATTAAAATGTCACAAACTATACAAGCTTATATACATGAAGAGTAAATGAGCATTATTATCCATTTATATAAAATTACATTTTTATCTATTTTTCATCTAAAATGTTGCTAATAAGTTTGAGTGAACAAATTAAACATAAATAAATATAGACCTATACAAATTTCATTCTACTTGAGAAGTAATATGATAAAAGAAAAGAAAGAAATTAAGCATTATTGTGTAGAACCATGCTAATGTGAGCCAAAACTTTCAAAGACATTCAAATATATCTTTGGCATCATTGGTATTCATGTCTCACCATACAGGTTATGTATGAATCTGGAACAAAGAACTTGAGAACTAGCTTGTTTAAATTAGCAACATTTGGGACATAGGAGACATCAGATCCCAAACTGAACTCCAATTCTAAGAGTTTACTCCTAATTACCACCTATTCACTTATAAGATAAATAAATAAATCAAAATCATCACAATAGCCTGGATAGTAAAGATATTTGATACTATTTAATATGTGTTTTAAAATAATGAATTGTATGTGGACAAATTAATTTTAAAAAGTCATAAACATGAGAATTTTCTTGTGAATCATCTTAGTTTTAGCAAGTATTTTTGGATAAGCTATTTCCCCTGACAGATCAATGTTTAAATTGGAACATAATAAAAAGATTTTGTAGTTTTGTAGAAATAATTTTAATATAATCCCTGATAATTTAAATATAACCATCTAGAAGGAATTTTCCTTTAGGCTAAACAATATTTGTAAGTATTTAGGATGAACAATACACAAGTTTCACTTAGTTTTAAAAAAGTGGATGTTTTAGGATTATTTATACACTTCAAGTAACTTTAAAAAACATAATAATTTTGCAGTTCATAAAGGATATGTCATTTATCCTTTCTATAATAGGAACATTATTTGTAAATGTTGATGCAATGTAATGAGGAGTAACTCAAAATAAACAGGAATTTGAATTTAACTAATAATAAAACATCAGAAGAAATCAAATGTATTATAGTTATGTAATTTTTGTATTATGAAAATATTGTAAAGTTTTAACACTTTTAATTGAAATAGATTTATATCACATTCACCCTCTACTTCCTCCCTCAAGTCTACCCCAGATGACCTCCTTTGAAACCGTCTCTAGTCCCAACTCTCAAGTTAATGGCCTCTTTCCTTGGCTATTATTATGTGCACATATATGTGTGTATATGTACAATTTTAAAATGCTGCAAAAATTATATAGAATGCTTATATAACTTTCATCAAACTTGATGTTTTCTGTACATGCATACAAATTCTCTACTACAAAATTCACATTGCTATAATAATATTAACTGAATTATATTCTTTATTGAGATGGCTGGTTTCTCCATAAACTTTCTAATGTCTAGAATGCAGTTCAGTTCCATCCATACACAGACATGCTAATAAAGGTCTCTGAGCCTCCTCCAACCAGACATCTCTTAAGTCTTTCGCCATTTTCTGTATTTAAGTGGGAAGTTTTAAATGTAATTTAATTTGTTCGCAAAATAGGAAGTACATAAATGACAGTAAGTACATAATTGTTTAGGTGAAATGTTAAGTGTAGCACTTAAGATATTAGCTTTAATATTTTTCTGGACAGGAAAATGATGTGTTTAAGAACGTTTTGGAGTTATAGTTAGTCACACGTACATTTAAATTTCACTTCCTTTATTGTTCATCTTTACTTCCTTAGGAAATTATGTCTTTCTAAGCCTCCATTTCCCTGTTGTAGAAAAGTAAAAATAACTTCTGATATCACACCGTTGTGAGAATTATTTAATGTTATTATTGTATTGGCTAATGATTTTATCATTCATCTATCAAAGAAAATATTCAGATAGAAAGACTGTTTAGTTTGTTCACCTTATCTTACATTATTTCCTCACTGAGACTGTATTTTCTACATTATTCTCAATAACTTCTCCAATGAAGATAGGTCTTGTCTAATGCCAAAAGTCACACATGCCAAATTTATAATTACTAGGATGTAAGAAGTGGCTTCAAAGCCGTGTTTCAAAGTTACACATGGACAGAAATCTTCACAGAAATTCACATGCAGCAAGCCAGCAGTGTACTGGAGGCTTGGGGTCCAAGAAACATCTAACAGCAGCTACACAACTTTTAATGGTCCGTTTCTCACTATGCTTTCCTGATTCACTTCCCATAATTGGTAAAGTATGATTATGCCCTGTGACTTCCAACAGGAATCTCAATTTGAAAAGAAAATGAAAAAAAAAAACTGTATGACTTGACTTCAAAGAAAGGGAGAACGAACAATAGGAGAGAAAGTAAGCCTATATTTTTAGTCTTTTAAAACAACCAGATACGTAAAAATTAAAAAGGAGAGGGAGTAGCTGGTTTTGAAAAAGGACCGTAAAGAAAAAAACAGAATTAAATAATTACAGGGAAAGTATATTAAATAAATGTTGTTGCCTTTATGCCATAAACCAGGATGTAATATTTTCTTCTATTCATAACCAGGAGCTTTATTTCTTTTTAATTCATCTAGATGCAGCCCTTGGAAAAAGTCATGAAGTCAGAGGGACATTTAAAATAACATCTGGAGTGACATATAATCCTAATTTACAAGACAGACTCTCAGCAGATTTCAAAGTTCTTGCTTTTGACCTTCAGCAAATGGTAGGGGACTGTCTCTCCTCAGCTGGTTTAAAATCTCATAATCAATTTTATTAACTTCTTTTCAAATGATACATAGTGCACTTTTTTTTACTCAGAAAATATCAGTAAATACATGCCATCTTCAGGATTCATAACTGTATGAAACGCCCCCACCATGAATAAGACTTGCTCAGTTCTAAACAAATGGATTACCTGTATTTTGTATAAAAAGTTGATAAAAAAATAAATTCTCAATTTAATACATTTCTCATATTTTCAGATAGATCAGATCTTTGAATCAAGTAATCTGAAGAATGAATATAAGAAATCGAGCGTTTTCCAATTTGAGTGAGTATACTAGAAACCATTCTGCTGATAGAACATTGATCCCAGCCAACACTCTTCGTTTTCTCTCTCTCTTTTTATTTATTATTTTGGTTTTTCCAGACAGGGTTTCTCTGTATAACAGATCTTGCTTCCCTGGAACTGGATCTGTAGACCAGGCTGGTCTCAAATTCACAGAGAGCCACCTGCCTCTGCCTCCTGAGTACTAAGATTAAAGGCGTGTGCCACCACCACCCAGCCAACACTCTTCTCAAATGTGTTGTGCCATTACGTGTAGGAAAGAGTAAATATTTTCAACATTTTGTGAGGATTTGGAAATGTTTTATAGTAAAAAATTTCATTTTTAGTAAGAGATAATAGTAATATTTGATAATTGATATATTAACGTGTTTCTCTTACGAGGGTAAAATTGTACAGATATGTGTAGGATGGAAACTGAATATATGTACAAAGAGATATAGTGCATAATTTGTTAAGAACATGTAAAAGAAACTTCTTAGTTATAATTAAAATAATATGTCACCTAGCTTGTTCATATTATAAATCACAAAAGAGAGAAGATATGTTAACATTTTTATCTAGAGAAAAAAATGTGATTGTAGCATCCTCTACTCCCTTCTGGCCTCTGTGGGCACATGTGCACATGAACACACACACACACACACACACACACACACACACACACACAGAGAGAGAGAGAGAGAGAGAGAGAGAGAGAGAGAGAGAGAGAGGTAGGCACACACACAAAATATTCATAATTACAGTGATACCTCAGTCTAAAGTATATATTCGTGAGTGGATATGTTAAGCTACACTATATATGTAAATATAGCATTTCCTATAAAAACATTTAATATGGGATTTAACCTCTTAAAAACTAATCTTTCTTCAGATGGTGTTTCATGTGTCTCTGTTGAATCATTGTCTATAAAGAAAAGTCCATGACTCCCTGACCTGTTGTCCTGCTTACATCACCATGAATCTAATAATTTATAAACTGGGATGACAAAGGGGACTTTGAAACAGAGATACTCATAAACAGTGTGATTAGCAAAGAAGATTGTACTGCTAATGAGAATCAGTGTGATTTACAGGAAAAGGTAAAGGAGCGATCTACTCAAAAACCACAAAATTCAAATACAAATATAGTTGATTGAGCAATACATTTTGTATATAGAATAGAAAAAACAGACTTTTAATTTTCTAAAATGAGAGGGAAATAAAGTGAAAGCCACTTGCGTGAAAAAATAGGTATCAAAAGGTCACTTTTGTTGTCTATAGATAATTTTTGTGTAAAACACTATTAAAGACAGAGAAGAAAGCTAAGCACTGTAAACCATAAGGCATACAATCATAAACTGTAATATCAGTTTTTTGGTATATTTTTTCTAGCGGTTTCATTCTCCTCTGAATGTCTCACTTACTTCATTTCCAAAGCTGACATTTTATTGGAAAATTCTATCCTTTATTTCTCCTTTGCTTTGTTCTGCCTCCTGCTCTTTCTTCTTCAAAAAGTAATCAGTCTATAAGAAAACTTACAGCAGAATCTGTACTAGGAGTTCCTCATTTTTAAGCCAGAGAAGTAAACACTGAGGAAAATATAAAACCTGTAGTAGAAAGACTACAAAAGCACCTTATTTTGCTCTGTATTTTGTCTTAAATCTTATCTGTATAAATAGTTCCTTAAATGAAGTTCTTCTCTGAAACCAATAGTAGCGATTAGAGTAAGCATGAAGACAGGTAATAAATCAGATTATTAAGTAAACGAACCCAGTCTGAGGCTGATGTGTGGTGGTCAATCCAGAAGCCTAGGAGGAGTATTCCAACATCATATTTCATATCAAATATGATGCAAATGTAACTCCTTTTTTTACAAACCCTACATTTCTTTGCTAATAAAAGCTACAGAAAGTTGGACATGCAATAAGAGTTCTACCATAACTGTATTGTGAACATGATGTAAAGGCATATAGACATATTAAAGTTGTGGGCAGGTGTGTGGGGATGTCATGCCATAGATGGAGACTTAAGTGTCTTCTGTTATAATGCAATCAGCATCATTCTTTTCTTGTTCTTTTATTTCCTTCTCAGAATGGCACATCACTGTCATGTTTCTTTCCACTGAATAATTTATAATTATGTCTTTAATCTGATGTGAATCTTGACTGTCTGTTATCTCTGGAAAACAGCGTTGCTCTTATCTTTCCCGAATGATCTTCAGCTTAGTCCGTGATACCTCAACTATTCTGTGAAGCAAATTCATGCTTTGAAAGAGATGGTGACCTCTCTGCTGTTGCATAGCGTCTTAGCTGGGGTCATCCTTGAAGATTCCTAGGGTTTTTCCTAGTGCTCTGTTTCTCAACAGCCCTTTAATGGCTCCATCAATTGAGATATCCCTTTCCTTTCTCTCTTTCACTGTCCTTTCCCATTCTTGATCATTCCCTCTTGATTCCTCCCACCCTCCTTCCCCTCTTCCCCTCCGCTGCTACCTTCCCTTCTTCCCCTTCACAATTTCCTCACGAGGTCTCTCGTGATGCTACACAGATTATTAGAAATAAGTTAAGCAAGTTATGAGAGTTAGCCAAGAAGATGCTAGATATAACGGGCCAATCAGTGTTTAAAAGAATGCAGTTTTCATGTAATTATTCTGGGTAAAGCTAGCCAGTGGCTGGGAGCTGAAGCGGCCTGCAGCTCCATCTACAAGGTCTTGTCTGCTTCCCCTTCCCAGGGGGATCCATGTATGTCTCTCTTAGGGTTTCTTGTTAGCTAGCTTCTCTTGAATTGTGGACTATAGGCTGGTTGTCCTTTGCTTTATGTCTAATATCCACTTATGATACAAACCATGTTTGTATATCTGGGTCTGAGTTACCTCACTCAGGATGGTTTTTACTAGTTCCGTCCATTTCCATTCAAATTTCAAGACATCTTTGTTTTTTACTACTAAGTAGTACTCCATTGTGTAATTGTACCATATTTACATGTTTCAAGAAAGTGAAACTGTTAACAAGATATATCAACATCAAGAAATGCCTAATGTTATTAAGTTACAATCCATAGTAAATTATTCATATACATTGCATAATGGTCCAAGGAAATATAAAAGAGTTAAGATAACTTCACCCAGCTTTGGACTGGCTGCTTTGTCTGAGTTATGTTCAGAATTTCAGAAAGAAGTTTATTCAATTTCTACAAATTGAAATTATTTGTTCTACTTAAAATTGATGTTCTCAAAGACTAGGAATCTAGGTTTAAGGTTTCTATGCACATAATAAAACCTTTTATTAAGGAATTATTCTTAGCACCATGTCCGTTTTTTTGTTTGTTTGTTTGTTTGTTTTTCCAATTTCAGCTACTAGAAAGAAGCTTTGTTCCCCTCAGCCCAATGCAGGTTTTATACGTTCTCATCTACTGTTGTGTCTGTAGTAGGACACCTTAGAGACTGAGTTTAGCTGCCTACTCATACCTTGGGTCTTCAGCTCCTGATGACTCTCTAACATTGCCACTCAAAATTCAGGCGTGTTCCTATATACTGTCTCGGGCACTCATTTGAATTTCATAAGTCCTTCCTACTTTGTTTTAGCATCTGTGCTGACCTAGCACATTATGCATACACCCCCCACAACCATCTTTCATTCTTCTGTGTTGTTTTCTTCAAATGGACTCCCATTTTTTTTTCTCCTCCTTAGTGTCCTTCCTTTCTATCTTAGTGACTGCTAAGCACCAATTCATGTCACATGTCCACTGATGCTTAACCGCCACTCTTTTCGTAATGAGCACTCTTCTCCCCAGCTCATTCAGAACTTTGTGTATCAAACAAAACATCACCCCAATATGTGATGGAATTGCTTGCTTATCTCCTTATTAGACAGTAGGGTCTGACTAAAGAGGTCAGGAGAAGACCTTGGTTCTCCTGGAAGTGATGTACTATTTTGAACAATCATATGACTGCTCAAAACCTAATCTCTATCCTTTGCAAGCATAAAAGTACTCTTAACCACAGACCACTTATTCCAGCTCAGAACCCTCTGTTTTTGAGACTAAATGTCAAAAAAATATGTCTGAAAAAAATGGCCTTAGGTCAAATAAAATTAATGGGAAGAAGGCAGGTCAAAATTGCGGCGAACTCCCTGACCAGCAGGAAAGAACAGCCACCAGACGAGGATTCTTCCCAAATCACGCTTTATTGGAGCCTCTTGGTTATAGGGAGAGCAGAAAGCGAGGGGCCCAGAGCTCTGAGCTGTAGCTGCTTATATAGGGAGTCTGCCTAGCAACCTTTGATACTTTGATACTTTAACTGCTTTTCTGGAGACCCACAGGCCGGAAAGAAAGCAGGGGAACATCCCTGCCAATTACAGACCACAAGGAAGTTCCCCTGCCGGTCAGGGGAAGTGTGGGCAGCTAGATCACAACAACTCATCCTGTTTTCTGGTGGAAGAACTGCAATCTCTATTATGGTATCAAGCGAGGCCGGGGCCAAATGCCATCTTGTAATGGCAGCCACTCAAATCGGCTCCCAGCACAAAATCTTGCCACTTTCTTTGAATTGGTAACCTGAAAAAGGGGGATATGGGATGGGGAAAGAGAACATGGAGACATTCTCAGCCATTTAATTTTATCTCATGTATGTATGTGTACACGTGTGAGTGTGTGTGTTGATGCATAATATTTCATTTGAACACAGAGTTCACCCACTCACCTAAACTAGCTAGCCAGCCTGCTATCAGCCTTTCCCACCTCTGTCTCTTTAGTGTTGGTATTAAACTTATGAGGTAAATGCCATCTTAGCATTTATATGGGTGTTGGAGATTGAAATTCCAGTCCTCAAGCTTGAATGCCATCCTGTCAGTCTCAGATTATCTTAAATAATCATGAATGAATATCTATACTCAGGAAAAAAGGACAAGCTCATCATTAGATTTAAGCATCTCAATTTTTATTTGAAATATAAAAACAATATTAACATAACCAAGAAACAGAAATTACTAATTTCTCTTCTACATAACAGTATCCATTATATAAATATATAGTTAACAATATTTTAAAACTATTACAATTACAGTGACCTCACATGGCAAATGTGTCATCAAAATACGTCACTAAGAATATCAAAATTAGTCATTAATCTATTTTATCTTATTTTACAAGTATTTAATGTTTTTGCCACTTCCTGAAATAGTAGTGTGTGTGTGTGTGTGTGTGTGTGTGTGTGTGTGTGTGTGTAAAACAAATATGAAGAGAAAAAGTTGTTTTTCTCTCTTTTGGGGACACTGAAAAATGTTTTGATTCACAGAGCATTAGCAGTTGACTCTTTTAATAATGAGATTTTTGCCCTCTGTGGCCATGTGCACTTTAAGTTTGCCCTTTGCACACAGATGAGTCACCAAGTTCTCACAGGAAAGAGCTGTGTTTATTCAGCAAACCTAAAGGTTATCAGTATCATTAAGGAAAATATGAGATAAGAAGCATTTTGATCTATTACATCCAATCCCTCTGCACAATGATAGAATATATCTAGCTTTAAAATTACATGGAGAAAAGGAGAGACAAAAAGAGGAGGGCCATGTAGTTCCTCTACTAAGAGAAGTTTCTTTGAAATGATAACGGCCATTATTTTTTTTATAGAAATGACTTTCTCATTTATCTTAATAAATAAATTAAACCTAAAAGCGTCCATACAAATCATTGATAAACTACCAAAAATAAGTTTTTGCCTGCTTATGAGATGGAACATATATACTTATAATTTTTTTAATTTCTACTTTATATCTATGTTATCTCAGCATTTATACTGAACATGAAAATAAATTGTAAACGATACAATTGAATGTGTATCTATAATATAGAACTTTTATCCTCACAGATATAAATTATTGAGTACAATATATAATTCAAAACTAAAAATACACATCTTTCATACAAATATGTTTTTGCTTGAGGGTGAATTATTCCAGTTAGTCATAACGTGGTAAAGAAAAATTTCAGAACTGCATTTCTGCCCCAAATACCTTGTGTCTTCTACTGCTTGATTCAAGGTACACAAAATCAAGGGTTCTGAATAATTAAATGTGTAGAAATACATAGAGCAGATGCGGATTTCATTTCCATATAAATCATCTTTTTTACAACGCAAGAGAAAGTAAAACCGCAGAACTGATGAGAATAGATAAAAGATTCTGAGCTCTTGTGCTTTATTTTAAACCATATTTAATCCAATCAGCTCTAAGTCCATACTCAGTCAGCCATGTTTGGCAAAGGACATAGATTCTGGAAATATAAAGAAAATGGGGAAGGATAAAAGAAAGGATGAGGAAAGGGAAATTGGAAAGAAAGGGGGAGGAAACGGAAACTGTACATATTGAAAGCATATAGGAACAAAACAACTTTCTTTCTTTTGAATGACAAAAACTTCCAAGTATCTAGGTTAGCTATTTTCCCCTCTGTGCGTATGTGTAATTCTTACAATAAATCAAGACATTAAATATATTTACCTGTTTCTTAGATGGTGTCTATTAGTCCTTAAGAATAGTTCAATAAAGTGTTAAAAATACAGCGGTGGGAATTTTATACAAGTGCTTCTAAAGAAGAAAGACATGGGTATCACATCTGTTATGTATATGTGTGTGTGCATTTGTGTGCTTGTGCGTGTGTGTGTGTGTGTGTGTGTGTGTGTGTGTGTGTGTGTGTGTGGCATAGAACTCTGCATAAAGTTAACCCTCTTACTCTAGGTGTCAATGTTTGTATAACTATAGAGAAAACTGTGGTCAGTTGAAAGTATCAGGAAAACCTAGTTCAGTCATCCTTTTCACTAAGAATGGATGAAACCTGAAAGTTGGATGCCAGTTAATCTGTTTTTAACTTTCATTAACAAAGGATATACTTACTCAAACCTTTAAAAGGTGGAGGTATTTTTGCTGTTATTTTGTTTTGATTTTCTGACATCGCACGGTCTTGGTTTCTGTGTAGGTCAGTTCAGTGGTCTATTGACAATAACATAAGAGATTCAGTGTTTAAATTCTCCATTATGAAACACGTGACTTTCAATGTTGGTTACCCTAATGATCCCCAGATGGCCCTGAAATGGTCCTCAAATTCTGGCTTCTATAAGGAGGAGCAAAATTAGTCTAATAAATAAAGCGGTATTTCTCTGTACTTTTCTGTTCAAAATAAGAGTCTAATTGTCTTTTTCCAGTATTCTCACATTCCACTAATAAGGGCCCAGTTGAAAGAAATGGATAAACACAAATGGAGAACATTCACTCTTGCTTGGGACCAGAATTTAGTTCCTAGCACCCACACCAAGTGACTCACAACCACCTGGGGATCCAACTTCCTCTTCTGGTCTCCAGGTGCATCTGCGCTCATGTGCACACAGCACAACACTCCTACCACAAATACACATACACATCAATAAAAAATAAAATATTAAATATATATTTTAAAAAGTCGGGGTCAGCTGGTGTTGAAAATATAACAAGTGTCGAAGATCAGATTATAAAAAGTATTTATAAATATCTGAATCCTTACTAAAGACAGAAAGTTTCTTACATATGGACATTCAGGAGCTCTGAATGCTTATCAAAGTGCGGTCCAACTAATAAGTTTTGGTTACTGTGATTTAAGAAAATAATTGGACTGTCAATCTTGCTCACATTTACAGATAATTAACTTAATAGAAGTGAAGTGTGGAATAATTATAACAAATTATCTTGGTCATTTAAATAATGAAAAACCACCAGCATGGAAAGGAATGATTCCTCCTGAGCTATGAACCCGCAAACTAACACATGTATTAAGAGAAGACATCAAGTCCTGTGAGATGATAAACTACTGTGGTCTTCCAGGAAATTTCTGATCTTGGTATATAATGATGAAATAAAAAAAAATATCTTTTACTCCTGGTTCCAGCAGGACAGGTAGATAATGACATCAGAGCTAACAAGGCCTTCTTTGGAGATGCCCATTAACTTGGAGATACCAAGGTTGCATTACTAGGACTTTGTGTTAGCATCAGCATCTAAGGTCTTTGAGTTAACATCAGCATCACCAAGGCCTTTGTTTTAGCATCAGCATCACTAACCATGTCAGGGCTGGCTCTTTCTGGTTTGTCTTAAGAAGTCAACTTCAACCTGAGAATTGTCAGGGCAAAATGGAGATCAGAGCTTGAGTTTTCCCTCCAGGGTGGTGGTAAGCTTAAGAGGAAACATGAGGTTAAGGGAAAGGTAGGAAAGAAAACAAAACATATTCTCTCAAGTGTCTCTATTGTTTCCAAATGCATTCCTTTTTAATCTTTTCTCACAATGTAAAAAAAATGCCATTTAAAATGCAAAATACAGAGAGGAAGTTAAAATAAAAGGAAAGAATATTCCCCAAGGCCGCTAGGTTAAATTCTCCTGTTGTAACAGATTCTGTGGGCAAGAAATTTCTTAAAAGAATAAATATCCCAAGTGTCTAGTAATTCAGGTATGTGTCCTTTCTTTCTATGCACCAAAATCAAGACATACTTTAAGAATTTAGGTTACGCAAAAGAATAAGGAAAACTAAAATACAAATGTTTACTGAGTCTCAGAATCAGGCAGTCTTAAATTTGTACAGTTTATTTGAAACAAGTATGAAATTACATCAGACTTCTCTTGACCTAAGAATCCCCCAGACACATTGCAGACTCACACACTTCATTCCTTCAAACAATAAAGTGACAGAACTCTGTGTGACACAGTTTAATTTGACACAAGAGACTAAGGAAGAGCCCTGTGTTCCTGTGTGCTACACTGAGCACTGGCTCCAATGTTGGGCTGACTTTAGCACTTCTGTTCTTAGAAAAATATTGAAAGTTTTAGTTACTCTTTCCTTCCTTTGTAAACTAAAGATAATACTTTACAATATCTATTATATGAGTTTTTATTTCTTTATTTTAGAGAAGAAATCTTTACAAGGTATTGCAGAGCAAGGCGCACAGTGAGTTACACTGTTGTAATGAGGACTAGGACCGGATGACTAACTAGCAAATTTCATAGACATTTTGCCTGAACTGAGACAAATCACTTGAAGATACCTGACTCTTTATTCTTCTGTCATTTTTTTTTTCTTTGCAGAAATGGCAGCGTTATAGTCCTTTTTGACCTTTATTTTGCTCAGTGGGTATCAGATGAAAATGTAAAAGAAGAACTGATTCAAGGCATTGAAGCAAATACATCCAACCAACTGGTCACTTTCCGTATTGATTTGAACAGCATTGATATCACAGGTATCTGTGAACATTATTTGATTTCTTTGAATCATTAAGCTATGAAATTAAGATTCTAGCAATATAGGAAAGAGGCAGGAGAATCATCCTTGGCTTTAGGAGCATGTCGCGCCGCCTGAGGTAACACATTTACATGAGAAAAGTGAAATATTTGAAGGGAAGTATCAGTGAGAGGAGTTTGGAAACTATCGAATATAAAAAAGATTCTGAAAATGTCAGTGGGCATAGATGTTTGTGAGTCTTGTCACATTCTATCTACTGGTCAAGTGTATTCTGACTTTTCTGGAGTCATTTATTAGAAAGTCAAATTAGAGAATTTGTGATTGAGTTTCAGACCTTATAAGATTACAGTCAAGTGGCAAGGACAAATGTCTAATTAGAAATGGAAAAGAAGACAAAAGATGGATTAATACATTTAATCCAATTTAATTTCCTATTGAAAAAGTTAACTTTTTTCTTAAAGTGATAAAACCTTTTTTATCCTAAAAATACACAAAAGAAGAAGACCACGGGGCTCAAAGATAACATCAGAGACTGGGGAGATGGCTCAGTAGGTAGCAGTGCAAGTCTGACAACCCGAGTTAAATCCCCTAAACCTAAATTGAGAGACAGGACTCCACAACTCGTCTTCTAACTTCCACAAGGATCCCCTGCTCAGACATCATGTCCACAAATACACACGCACACACCATCACACAAAATGATAAGTTAATTTTAGAGTAATATCCAAACAATATATCTACCGGATCTTCAGGCTCAGATATGATGTTTTCTCTTTAAAGGTTCCTATCGAAGAAATAGTCTCCCATTCAGACAAAGTTTGAGAGGTAGTTGGATCAGGAAAATGCTAAATTACCCAGGCAATTAGTTCATTAATGAGCTTCTTGTTGAGTGAGCTATTAGGAGGTAGGGCATCTTTGGAGAAAGCGGGTCATTTTATGTGGTTTTGTAGGATATACATATATGTGTATATGTATGTATGTATTTTTTTATTTTTTATTGATTTTATTGAGCTATACATTTTTCTTTGCTTCCCTCCCTTTCTCTCTCCTCCACTTCAACCTGTCCTATGGTCCCCATGCTCCCAATTTACTCAGAAGGTCTTGTCTTTTTCTACTTCGCATGTTGATTAGATGTGTGTATGTCTCTCTGAGGGTTCTCATTGTTGTCCAGGTTCTCTGGGATTGTGACTTGTAGGCTGTTTTTTTTTTTTTTCTTTATGTCTAAAAGCCACTTATTAGTCTGTACATATGATATTTGCCTTTCTCGTTCTGGGCATTTTTAATTTAACAGTTATCAGTTGACAGTTTAAGATATCTGCATAACGGCATTATCCCAGCTGAAGAATCGCCTCCGTTTATCAGCCCGTGGTTGTATATGCTGTCCATGTTCTTGCTAATTAACATAGGAGAGATTATCCTAAGGTGGCTGATGCCAACCCTGGGGAGATGAGCCAGGACAGTATAAGTAATGTCCCTGACCAAATTATGAAAGGGAGTAAGGACACAGACTTTCCTCTGCTTCCATTCCTGCCACAGTTCTTGCCCTGATTTTCCTAGATCATGACTAGGAACGCAAAGGTTTGATAAACACTTTCTTGTCCAAGTTGCTTTGGGTCAGGAAAAGAAACTAGAGCAGCTAATAAAATTAATCTCTTTATTAGGAATTTTGTCAGGTTGTCTTCAAATGCTGTTTCTGTGTTCCAGGGTACAATGTAGGATACTACTCTGTTTATGAAGAACTATCACTTTAATACTAGTATTATAATATACTTGACAAAATATATTCTTGCTTTTTCACTTCCTACCCCATCCGTTGGCATTTATCCCTAACCCAGAAACAATAGAGCTAGTCATCATGGGCTGAAACCTCTGAAGCCATGAGACTAAATAACCTTTCCTTCCATAGGCTATCTTATCATATCAACAATTAAAATTATAAAATATACTAAGGTTATTCTATTTTTTATAGTTCCCATTCATTCTTTTTAGTTCAAAGGGTTATTTGAAGTAGTTTAGTTCAGTTATAGACAATAGTAATTTTATCTACTTTTCTATTTTCACAATGCCTTATCTCTAAACACTGAAGCTAAGAGTATTTCAGAATTCCTATTTTTGTAATAACAAATATGTAATAGTAGATTTGAACCTCGGACGCATTTGGTATAGTGTAATTTTCTTGACAGAGTTGGTTTAGGAAGCACAATTTCCAGTCACTCCCCTGCTTAATCCTTGTTTCTTTTTTTTTGTTTTGTTTTGTTTTGCCAAGAAGTTAATTCAATTTCTCTGTGTCCCAACTTAAGCTGTGCTTCATGGAATGCACTCTATGGAACACACACACTGTAGTTTGGATTCTTATTAAGTTAATCTGAAGATTACCATAAACCATCAGTAACTACACCAGATACATTACCCATTGAACCATTTTGTAATCAAATCTAACAAAACTTTTTTTGTGAAATCATTTCACCATTCCCATTTTACAAAGTAAAAGACAAAATCCAGAGGACTTTGGTAAATTTCCTTTCATGTATTATATACAACAGATGAAGGACTCTAATCCAGGCATTTTGAGAATACTGCCTTTCTTCTTAGTCATCATACAAAAGTTTGCTCGTAATAGTTATATTACTGGAAAATAATAATTGATTTTTTAAAATCATTTTCCTAAAAAAATTATTTTCTCTTTAATATGTGTTCATGTTGATAGTCTCCTTGATGAACAATTTGACAGATATGCTAAAATAATTTTTATTAAGCCATATACCTTCATGAGATGGAAGATGAAATTTATGGTCAAAATCACATACTGATTAAAAAAAATCATATCCTCTTAAGTTTATTTCAGTCTGTCTTGCACATGCCATAAACTCTATTTATCAGTGACTTAAAAACATGCTCAAATCAAAGTTATGCTACAATTGATTTATTGAGCTGTCCTAAAACACATCTGCAAGTATAGCACCAGGCTTAATTTTAGATATTTATGTTTAATATTTGCATTTTGTAAATTTTCAAATATATTTTATTTTTACTTGGTTATGATAAGTCCTGGCAAAGGAAAGATCTCATAGGTAATGTTATATTAGTATAATATAAACTATTCCATGTAACTGAAAGCATAAATAATTAGGTACTTTTCTTGAATCAATACAAAACCAAGCAAACTTAGCTTAGGCAAATTATATAAACTGATCAGGAAGTCACTAAAACATATCTAAACTATAATAGCTGCAGAGCAAATAGTAATATCATGAGAGCAAGTAAACTGGAATTCAAAGGATTAGATATCTTTTGAAGAAATATTCAAACTGTATTCAGTGTTTTTATAATGCATTTATATTATAAAGCCATGTATAAAATCATCTTTACTTTCTTCTAGCATCTTTGGGTGACTTCTCCACAGCATTCCCTGTCACTACTTCAGCTGGTGTTTTGTATTTATAGCGTGTGTGTATGTTCATCTTTATTTATGCATCCACAGTTATGTTTGTGAACATGTAGAGACCTGAGGTTGAAGAATTCTGTCTTCCATCAGTGCTTTAAATCTTATGTTTTGAGAGAAGGATATAGGACAGACAGCCTGAACAGTAATCTCTGAGGTCTCACCTGTCTTTCACTCCACTCCACTCTAGGATTCCAGATATATACAACCAGACCTGAGGTTTTGAGAAGAGTCCTGGGAATCTAAACTCAGTTTCTCATGCTCACATGACAAGCATTTTTCTGAATAAGCCATTTTGCCTACCCACAACTAAGTGATATCAAATTTCACAACATTAGAAAAAAATATTTTATTTCTGCATTTTGTCATGATGTTTAGCCTTCATTTTAAAACACAAAAGTCATATTTTAATTGTAGTATAGCTGAGAGTATTAATATACCTATTTACCTATGCCAAGGGCAGGTATTTCTGGTTTCAAGACTCCTGGTTTATTTTAAACTTTATATGATGCATTTATAATTCCAAAATTGGCCCATGTCAGGAGGTCCTGGTGATAAAAACATTAAAACAATAATTAATAAAATAAATATTACGCTTCTTGGAAAAAGAAAACCACACTGTCGTACTAAGCTATCCACTTCCCACTTGACACTTTGTGTGGTTTATTTAAATTTTCATTTTTGTTCATAATGTTTAGAACTTCCTCATGTCTCATCAAGTTAACATCACTATTAGAAGAGCTAATTTAGAAAAATTATCAAAACTTTTATTAAAAAATTAACACTTAGTTATCTTAAAAATGTGATCTTAATTTTTCATGGGAAAAGTATTAAAATAGCAACCAGAAAGCTAAAACTTCATTGTGGCTCTGCTAAGTACAAAATCTACCAGGCACATTGTTTTACAAATTCTTTGAAATCAAAATTCTGAAGTACGTATGATTAGTAATCCTCCCCTAAATACTGCAAAAGTTGTACTAAATGTCAATCTTATCTGCATATCATTAAGAAAAGGAAATTGTCACAAGATCATAAAGGTAACACTTTTAGTGTTAACCACAATCATGACAATATTTGAGACAAATATTAGATAGTACATACTGGAACCAATAAGTGCAGCATTTAATTTTCTGAAAAACATCTTTTTCATACTAAAAAGAACATATCAGAATAAATAGAGAAATAGAGCTCTGTGGATAAAGTGCCTCCTGTTCTGACAGAAGACTGGAGTTGGGTTTCAGCACATACATTATAGCTATTACTGCATCTCCAGGATATCTAATGCCTTCTGGCTTCCATGGGCACTGCACACGCATGTGTATGCACGCACGCACGCACGCACGCACACACACACAGAGAGAGAGAGAGAGAGAGAGAGAGAGAGAGAGAGAGAGAGAGAGAGAGACGGTGCACCAATATACATGCAAGACACCTATACACATAAAATAAAGATAAGTAAATCTTTTTTAAAACATGCCCGGGGTCACAAAGGCTGTATCAATCCTAGAAAACAAAACTCTGTCTCTTGATGTTTCATCTACGGGCTTAAGCTCACCCCAGTTGTATCAAGCTCAAAATCTTTTAGCTCACAGGCATATGAATTAATGAATCCTGGTGCTTACTGAATGACCATTGAGTAACACCCCTAATTTAGAAAAAAAAAGTAAGTAAAAATATAAAACCTTAATTTTAATATTTTGAAAATCAATTAAAAGTAACTATGAGAACTGATAAATTTGTCCCCTTAGTTCATTAATCTAATTTAATTATTTTGCTTTGTAGATATGTATCAAAACATCATATTGAATCCCACAAAAATACAAAATTATCTTTAACTAAAATAATTGAAAAATATTAAGATAAAATATAAAAAGTTTGGG